TTAGATGGCTTGGTAAAATACATAGAGGAATCGAGAGATGGGAAAGATGTGATAAAGCAGGTATAGAAAAAGTGAATGGTAGATTCTAGGTGGTGGCTATATAGTGATCACTGTAAAATTCATTCTGTAAAAAACTTTTCTGTATGTATGAAATTTTTCATAATAAAATGTTGGAGAAAATATAAACTATCCTTAAAGGCCTAGCTTATGGCCCACCACTTTGGGGAAGGCTTTCTAGATTCCCCGAGTTATTTGTGGCCAAGTACCCATGCACCCTACTAGAACCTCTTTCATGGCAATAGTTGTCATCTGACGTGTAGAGCTGATTTGCTCGTGTATCTTAGCCCTTGTGTGGGACAGTAAACTCTTTGTTGACCGGCAGGCAGTCCTCTCTTTATATCCCTGATGCATCAGACAGGCATCATAGGCACAAAGTAGATGGTCCTCACATGACTGTAGGATTAGTTTAGGAATATCATGATTAACTTTAAAGTTAACTTTGTTGAAATTCATTTTTGTAATGTAACGTTCACTGGGTGAAGCACCACCATTTCTGTGTGTGTGTGTGTGTGTGTGTGTGTGTGTGTGTGTGTGTTTGGAAGAAAGAGAGAGAGAGAGAAATGAGGGTTCACATTTCCAGTGTCCAACATCCTGATCATGGCTGCAAATAAGACGGTGCTGTGTGGACAAGAGACCCATTGCCAGTTACACCTGTGGTGGCTGGTGCCGCTGAGCTCCCTATCCTTGGCAAGGGAATTCTGTAACTTAATACCATGACTCAAATCCAGAGCTCTGGACTGTGTGGATCCACTCCCTTTAGAGGGCCATTCTATAGAAAGAAAAATAGGTCTCAGGATGTCTTATTAGGATCACTGACAAGAATCCATTCAGAACCTAATTGATTTTCCCAAAATATGTATAACCCCAAGCAGCCAAAAAATATTCCACAATCATTTGGAATGGCATACTTGTTTCCTAACAGGTGAGCATATTTTAATTCTGGGAAGATTTAGAAATAAAAGTAAAAGATGTTAATAGAATCAAAGCTATAGTATTAATAGTTTTACTTAAAGAATATATGCATATTTGATATTTCAAGTTAATTATTTAAAATAAATTGCCCCTCCATAAAATAAAATAAATTGGCCCATTTAACAGGTTAGCCTGTATTTCTAAATTAAAATGTGCCAAGGGGTAATTAATGTAGACTTGATTTGGGGTAGGGTTGAGGTCTTACTAGATTTGTAAGCAATATTGGAGTATTTAAGATAATTTATTAAGTTTTTAAGAGTTGTTTAAGAAAAGGTTTTATAAGTTGAATCACATAGTTCTAATGTTGAAAAGAATTAAATACATTATAAATTAAATACAGTTTTAAATGTTTAAAGGAGTTTAGGTTTATAAAATGGGCCAACCATTATTCGAATGGACCTTTGAAAGTGACTATAAAAATTATAATGTATGAGTTGAAGTTAAAATTTAAGAGTGATCTAGGTATTAAAGGTTTTTCTTTTTAAAAAAAAACACAACTAAGCAAATGAAATATATATTTTTATTAACAGGTAAACCTAAATAGTGTTTTTCTGTGCACAAAGCCACCCTGATGGTCATTAAAAAATTCATATGAAATAAAGTGATTAACACTGCTTCGATCACAGTAGATACTTCATGTTAGTTGAATTTGAATTTTTAAAATTGTAAAAATAGTCCAGTTGGAGTTACTCAGTGGTTGAGCATTGACCTATGAACCAGGAGGTCACTATTTGATTCCAGGTCAGGGCACATGCCTGGGTTGTGGGCTTGATCCCCAGTAGGGAGCATGCAGGAGGCAGCTAATCAATGATTCTCTCTCATCATTGTTGCTTCTCTCTCTTCCTCTCCCTTCCTCTCTGAAATCAATAAAAATATATTTTTAAAAATTATAAAAATAAAAGTCTCTAGGAAAAAGAAAATTTGAATCAATGATATTCCTTAAGGAGGCAAGAAGAAACACATAAGAACCTCAAGTTAATTACTCTTTATGACTTGAAATATGGTCTAAAAGAAACATAGTTTTGAAGGGTCATTTTGTAAAGCATAGGGATGTGAGAGTTACAACAAGCATTCAGTGAAATGATGACGGTAGCATAGAGCTCTGCACAGTAGATACCCAGGGAGTGCCTATTGGAGAAGTACCAATTTTTAGAAATATTATAATCAACATATGAGTTGATATTGTTTAACTCCAAGGGATGCCATTTGTGTAGACTCCAGATTCTATGCAAATGTGGCCATCCTAGATATTGACCTCATTCATTCAGCCAAGTGCCATAAGAAATTAAAAGTTAGTTGTATAGGTGATGTGTCACATGTAACAAGTAATTCTGTCTGCTTTCACAGAGAATATGCTCGTGTGAGGCAGGAGACATTTTTGCCATCTGGATAAGGTTCAGATAAAATTACATATAAAACAGAGCCCTGGATTTATTTCACCCTGGCCACTCAGACGTCCTGGCCTCACTGTGCACCCTGTCCCTGAACGGGGTGCACAGTGAGGCCCTGAGCTGGAGCATGCTTGGCTCGTCCGCAGACATTGTCATTTAGGTCTGGCTTCTGGTAATTAGGCACTCCTAGCTGGGCTCTGCTGTCCGCGAGCCTTTGAGACAAATTGCAAAATCTGTACAACCATCGGAGAGATGGAGAAGTAGACCCGACACTACAAGGAGATATTGGTAGTTCTCAAAAGTTTGAAAGGGAATCCTTAGAGAAGCAATCCTCAAAACTGAATTTCCAAGTTCTTTTTCCGCAGTTGAAGGGTGAGTTCAGTTATAGAATCAGGATCTGAGAAGATCCCGACAGGCTGGAATGACAGGCTTAATCTAATGGGATGAAATGCAATAGGAACAAACCTCAGGTTCTGTATTTGGATCTGAAAATTGTAACTATGCTTAAAAGGACTGGACACAGGGTGGTAACCCATATGAAAGGAACCTAGGAGTTCAAATTGATGCAAGTTGGCAGTTTATCGTGGTCCCCCCAAATCAGAGGCAGTGCTGCATGAGCCGGTAGAGTATTTGGGAGGAGTGAGGTGATGCACCCACTCTGATGTGGAGCTGTCCCAGCAGAAGCATTCCTGCAGTTCTGGGCTTTAGGCTTTGCAAGGAAAATAGACAAAGGATGGTCACAGGATGTGTGTGGGAGGAGTGCTGCAAAGCTTGTCACAGATAACAAAGGAACAGGGGAGGCTTGGCCTGGACACAACTCCAGGCAGACCTGAAAGCCGTCATTAATATCTGAAACTTAGTCATGTGCATCAGTGACTAGCCTTGATTCTTGTGAAGAGGAACAAGAAGAACCTGAGGAAGAAAGTTACAAGAAGCCACAGATAAGGAGGGTCCTTTTAATCTTAAAAGTTTTAAGATGAAATGGACTGCTTCCTGAATTCTAGAAGTGCTGGCTTCGGCTAATAAGGACTTCGACTTTTAAGAGTGAGAGTGGATGACCCAGAGACACTTTCCAGCCCCAAACCTCCACGATTCCTTTGTCTTCTAGGGCTGACGGTACATTGCACGGTCCTAGCACAAGCAGGTGGTGGACAGAGCCGCGCTTACAGGAATGTTCTAGACCAGTGGTTCTCAATCTGTGGGTCGCCAACCTGTGGGTCGCGACCCCTTTGGGGGTCGAACGACCCTTTCACAGGGGTCGCCTAAGACCATTGGAAAACACATATATAATTACATATTGTTTTTGTGATTAATCACTATGCTTTAATTATGTTCAATTTGTAACAATGAAAATACATCCTGCACATCAGATATTTATATTATGATTCATAACAGTAGCAAAATTACAGTTATGAAGTAGCAACGAAAATAATTTAATGGTTGGAGGTCACCACAACATGAGGAACTATATTAAAGGCTCGCGGCATTAGGAAGGTTGAGAACCACTGTTCTAGACAATGATGGGGGACAGTATTTAGAATTCTCAGACAAGATTTCCACAAGGACACTCTCGCATTGGTCTTCATTAGCGCTGCCAATTTTTTACTCTGCCAGGGGAGGTCTGGTGGACGTGGTCACTGCCTTTCAGCAGAGGCTGTGTTATTTCCTTGTTTGTTCTTTCTCAGTGGGAACGGAGCTTGGGGAGTAAGACCAAGTTCTTGCTCTCTTCAGGGAGTATGTCTGGGAAGTAAGACAGCAAGCACAAATTATACAACCAACTATATAGTCATGATTATAGTTACAGTTTGAACTCATGTCTTATAAGAGTGGGTTTTTATGTCATGTAGTATTACATTTCCCCACTCAGCTTTGGGGTTATACTTTCCTGTTATATCATAGTTCTTTGAAGTCAGGTAATCTGTTTGAAACTTCTCTCTCCTGGCGGGGTACTGATGGAAAGTCTTTGGGTATACTTTTAGACATTTTCTTCCTCCCCCCACTCCCCCCCAAAAAAGAGATTATAAAGCCTTGAGGAGGTTGAGTCATTCTTTTTCATAGACACAGTCTTGTGTGTAGTTACTAGTACAGTGACTACTTTTAAGGGGTGTCTGTTTTCATACTACTAACTTATCGTTGTAGGGTTTCTGTGGCCACAGCAGCTCATTCTCTTGTGGCTATAATTTAACTAGAGGTAACTACAAGTAGAAACCTGGGTGAGGAGGAATGGATATGAAAAATAAGACTAGAACAGACGGGGTTTGCGGATTCCCACACTAATGCTTGTATTTGTTGCTTATACAAGTGACCACCCATTTAGATGCAAGCATGCCAAGAAACAAAAAGGTGCATTTTAAAAAAGCAAATTTCTATCCTCAATTGCCGATTGTAATTCAGAATTAATGTCCCTCATCTTATTTTCTCCTAGTAAGTATTTTTGCAAACAATAATGGCACTGTTTTATTTTCCTAGCATTAATAAACTTACAGCTACAACAGATTCTGAATTATACTCTTAGCTTTCAGAGGCTTTTTAAAAATTGTTGTGATCCACCTTATTGTAAATTCTTCTTTCTTGCAGGTAGGAATGAATTGATAGCCAGATACATCAAACTCAGGACAGGGAAGACGAGGACCAGAAAACAGGTAAAATAACCTACCTGGAAATTGTGCATGTCAGCGAATGGCCCAAGGAGGCATTTTGGCTGCAGTGGCTGTCTGTGCTTCGGCTCCTAGGAGCCCCCATTTTGAGTTCCCTGTAAGGACGTCAGTGATGTTTAAATTGGTGTTTTAAATTGGCTCAGTTTTCACTGTTCATCATTTCAGTGACCCTTGACTATGTGGTCTTAAGAGCCCTTTTTATACATATGGGAAAGTTTTACTAAGGACAGTACATAAAACTGCTCCTGCACTGTATTTTAAAAGTTCTATTTCTTTCCCAAACTGTGCATCTGCAAACACTACAAATGCTGCAGGTGCAAATATACTTGCAGGCCATGAAATTTTGAGATTTTTGTGCATTGTAAAATCCTGGAACAACTACAATATTAGTCATCATTTCAATGAAAAAGTAACACTAGCAGCCATGAGTATTGGCCTGAATATGATACTGAATGATGTGCGTCCAGGGAACCGTTGCTCCTTAAGCTATGGCTTTGTGTTAGTAGCTGCTGTGACTGAAATGAAGTTACAACGTAAATGTATTTGTGCAGAGCAGTGTCAGGCATTTCCTCTGCCCTTTGTCAGGGCTCTGGCTCTCTTTTTTTCTGATGTAAAGCAGCCCAAATCTCTGACCCAGTTCAAAACTGGAATGGGTGAGAAATTCCTGTTTAACCAAAAACAAAAAGAAAGAAAGGGGAAGGAGGGGGCGGGAAAAATCAAACATCTCATGGGTGAGTTGTTAACAGAAAAAATTTTTATTTTTTAATGTTGACTTATGCTGATGGATCTGTAGATTTTAAAAACTACCATGAAACCAGAAGGCAAGCTCAACTGTGGTCTCATTAAGCCTGAGCAGCAGATTCCAGTCCTCTGCTCAGTGAGGAGTTGTTCTCATGAGTGTTGATGATGGGGGAGAGCCTTTCCCCAGGAATGCTACATGTGCCCCAGCCGGAGCCTGGCTGCTGAGTCAGCACAGAGGGAAGTGGCCTCCTGCCAGTGCTCAGGCCCAGAACATTGTCTGTTCTGTGGATGTTCCCCTGACAGTGTGCAGGGGTCCTCATTAAGTCCAAGTCCGAGAACCACATCAGACCAAAATTCGGTTGGAAACAAGTAAAAGCAGGAGCCGGATGGAGGTGTGAGGAGGATGGGGGAGTTCCTGCTTCTCCGTAATTTTTTTTTAAAGGCAAAAATTGAAAAAAAAAAATAAGACAAAGTTAAAGATAAAAGGATCTTGTATTATCATAAATTCGGGTTGTTTTTTTTTTAGAGTTGCTAGAGTGTTTGAAATAAAGTCATTGTCTCATAGTCTGAGTCGCTGAACTATTACATTGGAGGTTCTAAATTTTTGAAACAGACAAAAACAGATAAGATTTAATTCCCAGCATGCGGAATGTGCTGTGCCTGGACCGTCTGCTGGTCCATGGGCTCTGGTCATGTGCCCGACCCCTTCACTGAGGGACTCTTCTAAATTTAACCAAGTCCCGTGGAAAGAGATGCAAATTTGTTTACCCAGTGGAATCATTGTGTCTCAGAAGCCAGGCTTGGCTTGGTTTCCACACCCCGGCATCCTGGGGATGTTTTGAGGCAGCAGTTGGTGATACCTCTCCAATGTGAATTTGTTGTTCAGCAAATCCGTGTGGTTTTCAACCCAGATTTTTAACAGGGTGGCTGGCTGGCTGTATTCACACTTTGCGCTTTGTAATAATATGCAAATCCACTTGGCGCCCAGTCAATACCCAAAAGAGTGGAAGGATTAAAGATATTTATAAGGGGGGAAATGCTCTGCTAACTGGGTCTTTCCATTTCACTTTGAGATCTAATTTACATGTCAGTATTATTTTAACATTTGCTACAGAATCCAGAGCTCTTAATGAGATCAGAATACAACCGACAGCTTCAGCTTTTTGATTGTGCAGAATGTGCTAATTTATGGATCGTCTCTTCTAAATTGAGAAAAAGGGATTTTCCCACCCTATACTGAGAAGCTATAAATATTTTCGTTTACCTCTACCCCCACCTTTTTAATTTTATAACGAAAACAACCCCACTCTCCCCCTCTCATCCCATGTCCGTGATTGCTCCCGGGTGAGAAAAACACTAGATTAGCCTGAACTTTCCTCCTGAATCAAGTCACTGCAGTGATGACCCAGTCTGAAAAGCTGAGAGCAGCGCTGGGGGCTTGGTGTCTGGCTGGGACTGTGTATTCCTAACTGCAGAGCTTTGTTGCGATGCAAATAACCTCCCCCCCACCCCACCCCACCCCAAACCCTCCTAAGGAGTAGCAATTTTATATTTGATTTCCTTTTTTGTTTTTTGTTTGTTTTTTTGTTTTTTTTTGTTTTGTTTCCCCTCATAAACCCGAACAATGTAGGTGTCTAGTCATATACAGGTCTTAGCAAGAAAGAAAGTTCGAGAAATTCAAGCCGCCATTAAGGTACGTCTGGCTTGCCCAGTTGTAGGGGGCTTTTCATCTCCATGGTTACAGGCTTTTCCTTTGTTTTCCTCCCTTCCCCTACCCTGCAGGTGTCTAGTCACATTCAGGTTCTTGCCAGAAGGAAATCTCGTGATTTTCATTCCAAGCTAAAGGTATGCGCTTTCCTGCTTTTTGGCTTGTGGTTGCTATGCATCTCACTTCCTGTTTTCCATGGTGACTGGTGAATGCCTGGTGCTGGGATTCTCGTAACCTAGTTTCCTCGCATGTGAGAGCTGTTTACATTTCTTTGTGTCTAATCTCTCTGTTTCTGAACTAGCCTCACATGAAGCCCAGTGTGTGTGCGCGTGTGTGTCCCTAATAACAATGCAAATGCAGCAGAGAGCTGGTCTTGATAACTTTTCAGCACAAAAACCTGATTTTTTTTTTTTTTAACCTTCAAATATCCACCAAGCAGCCCTGTGCTAGGAGAAGGGAAAAAAATCCAGGGACACAAAGTTGGTGTGGAAATTATAAACAAGAATCATTTCCACAGTGGTCATCATGAAATCACTTTTAATAAAATATTTAGAAATTAATTTGTGCTTTTGATGTATTTTCGAAAATACTCAGAAAAAAATATAACCTTTTCATATAACTTTTTCATGTGTTCTTCCAACACAGAGTATTTTCTGCCAGATTTCTTCCATAATGCTTAATATTGTTTTCTAAGTTAAAAAAGAAATTTAAGGTGAGACCTTACAAAAAACATCTTAAAGATAGGAATGTCAAATCCATATTTGCAATTCCATTTATAATTGAGTTTACTGTAAAATGTTTTTACATGTGCCTCAGTTTCCGTCCCTTAAAAATATATTTCATAGCAAAAATGGTGTCGTGGACAATATTTTAAATACAAGTTCTCCCTTCCAAAATTTGCAGTAAAGCATGTGTGACGTTCACCACCTCCCACAATCCCATTTTAGAAATGCAGAGATTATAGTTTATATGGAGGAATTTTTATAATAAAAATGAATTTGTAGCTCATATTGTTGCCTTTCCCACATGCCATTTTTGGTTCTGTCCTGTTTTTTCCACACATTAAGTAAATTCATGTTTTCATTGTAAACCTAAAGAATAGCGTGTAATTTCACAGCACTGAGTGGTGAACGCTGGGACCCTTCCCAGAGTCCTCCAACTTTTTTTATGCAAACAAGTCTGGCTGTGGAATAGCGCTAGTTACCAGGAAGGAGCGTTTGGTGTGCCCTCTGCAGTGGGCAGCATGCTGGCTCGCTCGCACGTGTGGCTGACGGTGGCTGGCTTTTAGCTGCACTGGCTGAGCAGTTGGAAGACTAAGATAACTTCTTAGATCCTGCTTTTTAACCAAAGGTGCATTCCTCTCTATGTGGATGTAACTACCTCAGTATTTGCTCAAGTTCTGACTGTTTCTAGTTTCTCTGTGCTAACAGATTAATGGTGTACAAAGAGGTGTACCGACACCAATTTTGTGTTTCCATCTGAGATGTTATAAATTGCTCTATTTCTGCGCTATCTGTGTGGTTCCTATGGACCCTCCGAGCACACAGCCCTAAACTGAAAACCCTGTAAGTGACGCAGGACGCACTGCTGTTCAGAAGGGGTCCCGTGGGTGCTGGAAGCACTCCTTTTCTCACTTGATGATTTAAGAATCTTCCTCAATGGAAACAGTTTTGCCCTTGCCTTATACATATCATACACACAAACATACAGTTGTATTTGTGTTTGTTCTTAAAAAATAAAAAGACTTCCCCCACTTACAACCCTGGCCCACTCCTGTGGGGCAGACACAAGGAGGCAGAGACAGAGGCAGTCGGGTAGCAACTGGCTCCAAATTTCAGCTCCAAGAACCACTTCCATCTTCCTGTAGTTTCTTTCCTTCCTCGCTACCACATTATTCTCAGAAAAATGGAGGCCTTTGTTCTTCCCATCAGCTAATACCAATTGTGTGTTCCAGGCATGGCGCTCATCACGGTGGGCAGCTAACAGCCAACCCCTTATTCACAGAGCGGGCCATGCAAAGGGGAATGTGAAATTAGGGCACTGCTGGATAAGTGTTAGCAGGAAGAGCCAAAATAAAATGTGGAGGGAATCCCAGGGACGAGCAGCCTGGAGGACGTGCTGCTCTTTGGGAGCTGAAAGGCAGGAGGCGGTGTGGCACAGAGCCTCTCCCGCATGTTCTCCCATTTACCCGCACTACACAGAAAGTTCCAGCCATTATGCGGATTGAGGAGTATTTAGGAGACCAGGGATCCAGGAGTTTAATTGACTTGCCAAAAGCCAAGCCTAATAAATGTCAGAGTTAGGATTTGAACTCAGATCTTTCTGAATCCTACACCACTGCTCTTTCAGATAGGCTGTTACTCCTGGAGATGGGAGAATGTTTTCAAATCGAAGGCTTCACATCAGCACACACTGTAGATAACCTGTCACCCCTCCCATCCCTTGGAGCTAGGCAGGCAGCCCTTGCTACCAGCCTTTCCTCAGCACCCATATTTTATTTTTTAAAAATATATTTTATTGATTTTTTTACAGAGAGGAAGGGAGAGGGATAGAGAGTTAGAAACATTGATGAGAGAGAAGCATTGATCAGCTGCCTCCTGCCTGCAACCAAGGTACATGCCCTTGCCCTTGACTGGAATCGAACCTGGGACCCTTCAGTCCCCAGGCCAACGCTCTATCCAGTGAGCCAAATCAGCATTTTAGAAGACGACTTTTTGAGCGCTTGCTCAAAATGTGGACTTAATTTGTGATTGACACTGTGGTGATCGTCAGTAACCCAGGGTGATGTGATCGTAGCTGCGGTACTGCTGTGTCACCACTCTGAGGGCATTGGGACAGTTGAAGAGAATAAGGTTGTCACCTGCCTGCAGAGATGTGGCTGCTTTGACCTCCCAGGGGCATTATATATGAAAGATGCCCTCCTTAGCCTCCCTAGCGGTCATCCCCAGGACATGGGCTCAGGTCTTATGACCTTGTAGGAGGAGTAGATCTCACCGCTCCATCTGTACTTGCTTGTTCAGCTTGGGAGTCACACACATTTGTGGGAGGCAGGGATGAGCATCCTTGCTGAGATCATTGTGGGGTCAGGCTTATAGCCACATCTACTTGGCCTCCCACACTAACTAATGAGATAAAGTCTCTACTGAAAGTTGAAGTCATCCCCACCAACAACAAAGATAGCTTCTGGGCAGGCGCTGGGGTAGCAGAAAGTATCCAGACTTAGAAGAGACGCTGTGCTTTGCCTGAGAAGATGTAGCAAGGCTTCCTGGAGACGGTGGCTGGTGACGGACCATCTCAGGACCTATCCTTGCAGTTCCTGCCTCAGCCAGGCTGCTCACTATTCTCCACGTGCTCAGAAGTCTAAGGATCTCTGTTCTCTGGGGTGGACCACGGCGTGTGGCCCTCTTGTGGAGACTGAAGCCAAACTCCATTTCCCTGCCCTCCTTTGGAGTTTGAATAAGTGGTTGGCTCTCACCTGGGGCCACTGCCAGCTATGGCTTCCCCATGAGCCGCTTAACCTTATAGGCTCTCTTCACTTCCCGGGGAAGGGTGTAGTAGATTTTTTTTTTTTTTTAGTCTAGTGGTTTTGCAGACATTTTTAAGCAGCAAAACTCATGTTTCAGATTGAAATCTTACTTGAAACCTTCAACATATAAAAGAATAAAGGCTGTTTTAATTGAAGCTCAGACTCTCTCATTCTCAGCCATGGCTTCTTTGGCTGTTCCATTGAATAAGGTTCGAAAAACCACAGTGCTTTAGGCAGAAGGAAGAAGAGGTGTCTGCCTCTCAGCTTTCCCTCCTAACCTTACAGAAGCTCACATGTCCCATTTAAGTTTTTAGTTCTATAGTCTGTTCTGCCATATTCCTCCAAAGAAAACACTCAAGAAGAGAGTGGTCGTTCTCATGTCAGTTATGGATGAGTCATGCTCGCGACGCAGGTCTGTTGAGTGAGTTCCAAAGGTCAGCGTAGCAGTAGCTAACAGCACTGCTTCCCACAGTGCTCGTTTGTGAGCCACATCCCTCTTTTTGTGTGTGGACTTTAATTCCAATTTTTATAACAAAATGTGTTACAGTAAAAGTTTCAGATTCTGTGTCGAGTCCACCTCTAAAAGCACAGAAGTGATGACTAAATTCAGTCCAGTCAACTTCTCATTGAGCACCCAGTGTGCTCTAGACTCCTTAACAGCGGTTCTCAACCTGTGGGTCGCGACCCCTTTGGCAGTCGAACGACCCTTTCACAGGGGTCGCCTAAGACCATCCTGCATATCAGATATTTACATTATGATTCATAACAGTAGCAACATTACAGTTATGGAGTAGCAACGAAAATAATTTTATGGTTGGGTCACAACATGAGGAACTGTATTTCAAGGGCCAGAAGGTTGAGAACCACTGCCTTAATAGAAGTTGGGCACAGAAAATTACAAGCGAAGTCTCTGTTCTTGAGGAACACTAAACTTTTCTGTTATTTTTGGGGAGAAGACAAGATTCCCAATAGATTATCCTCAGCTGTGGATAGGTGGGCTCTGCGGGAGAAATTTAAGAGTTGTGCAAAGACTGCATAGTGAGCAGGTGGTTAATCCTGAGGGTGTGGGAGACTAAAGAAAGCCTCGTGGAAGAGATACCCTTAGAACTTAGCAAAGAGGAGGGCAGAACTTCTACTGAGATATGGGGGTGTTTGGGGAACCATGAGGAACACCATCTGGTTGGAGGCAATGGATGGGAAATGCCACCCGAGGAGCCTAACATTCCTGGAATCACCCCATGGAAAGTGAGGTTCATCTGTGGGCCATGGGGAGCAGGGGGGGGTGATATTTACTAATTTAGGGGTTGCTGTAAAGACTGAGTGAGAGAGATGCATGGACCAGGGCCCACCACACACACACCCCTGGGGCCTAAGGGCACTCATCGGTCCTTATCATCCCCCTTGGCTGGCTCCCCATTCCAGTCCACTCAGACTGCTGTGTACACTTTTTTCCTCACTGTAGAATAAATTCTGTTTAAGAGTTCTATCCTTATTAAGTTGGAAAGGGTACACTGCACCTGTTCAATAGCAGCATTTGAAACTTAGGTTATTAAAGATTGGGTTCTCTTAAAATCATGGCAAGATACTGAAGGTGTGCATCAAAATGAACCA